CTACGATTCATGTATCGGGGAAAAAACTACTGATCAGTTTTATTTAACGCATACGGAAAATTTGAATATATCAATGTCAGATAACTGAGTTGTCGACTACAAATAGGTTTCACAGTATGATTTAACGTTAATTTCTTTACAGATAAGATGTCGTGCCCATATCACATGGCATTATAAAGCTGAGGGCCTGTAGCTCACCTACCTAAAATGTGTATGTGCATTCTGAAAATGTTTGCTTTTGGTTTGTTGTTTAACGCCACAAGCACTATTCAAGCTGTATGACGGCGGTCTGAAAATAATCGAGTCTGGACCAGACAATCCAGTAACTGATATCATGAGCATCGATCCACGCAATGGGGATCGATGACACGCATCAACCAAGTCAGCAAGCCTGACCACCCGATCCCGTTAGTCGCCTCTTGCGACAAGCATAGTCGCCTTTTACGGCAAGCATGGGTTTCTGAAGACCTATTCTACCCTGGATCTTCACGGGTCCCATTCTGAAAATAAAGCTCCTACGTCACATGTGTATGACGTATTCTGGAGAAGGAACACTAACCTGAAATCTCTCATGCCATAAAAATGGAAAGAACAACAGCCTCCCAAACAGTATCTTGAAAATAAATTAATCCTGACGAATAGGATGGTATTTAACGTCACGTTCAAGATTATTTCACCCATATAGCAATGTGCGTGCGTGCGTGCGCGCGTGTCCACCAAGAAGGTTATGGACACCTTATTTGGAGATAACAGGGGTATAATTCATATTGACTGTCTGACACACAGAACAACAATGAACATTTTGCGAAAAGTAAAGTCGGTAAAGGACAAGCGCCGTGGCAAAATTCGACATGGCGTTCTTCTTCATTGGGACAATGGGCGGTCGGGTAGCCTCGTGGTTAAAGCGTTAGCTCGTCATGCCGTGGTCCCGGTCCCGACATGGGTACAATGTGTGAAGCCCATTTCTGGTGTCCCCCGCCGTGATATTGTTGGAATATTGCTAAAAGCGGCGTAAAACCATACTCACTCATTTACTGTACGGGGCTTGAATTTCACTGATTTCAGATCGGTAAGACTGACTGAGTCGGGTTTTAAGCAGCTTTTTAATACCATTTCAGTAATATCACGGCGTGTCAGCTCTATATGGGAGGACAGCCCGAAGTGATGCAGGTCTCGGACGTTTACTACTTTGGTGAAGCACACGGTTGTGGTGCTGATAAAGCTAGAAATATCGGGACGAACCGGGATTCAAACCAATTGAAGACCTTTTTTCTATTCTGGTATAAATTGTTATATATGCAGTAATTTAAGTAAGTTTTTATGTGCTTTCTTTGGAGTAATTGTTAAGTTTGCAAATTTTATATTTTGTTGAACATATTTTTTCGGTCATTTATCAAATTCTTGATTCATCAGAGCTTGAAATGGATGTCTTAGCTTGCTGGCTCATTGACCAGACTCACGGTACCATCTTTATAAAACACAATGCAAAGCTGCGACTCAGAGTGTTGGATTAGAACTGAGCATACGCCTAACCCGCATATCACACACGAAAAATTAGCAAAACTCAACTGACCAATAAAATTCAAGCATTTTACATGCATGGTAACATTTGTCGACCTCATTTCTGTAAACCGGTTGATTTAATAATATACACCACATATTATCGGCGCCAGTAGAAGAAAGTACTGCTCCATGCTAAAGCTGAATATGGTTCCAGGCCCAGCTGGAAAGGACGATTTAAGGGTAAATGGCTGTCTTTATGACCTGAACCTGTGGAATTATATAACTTTCGCCATTTCGCATCTTTTATGACTTTTATAGAGATTGCGATATTTTACATGATATTAAAGTTTTTCTCACGTTCTCGACTTTTGAAGTTGTAAAATCAAAATTGTAAACCCAGGTCGAGATCGCGATGTACTCGTCCTCAAACCACAACAAATTATTGATGAAAAAGGACACTGGTAAAGATCTCATGTGGCTGATTTCGTTCAGGTTCATTTTGTCATTTTATGGCGCTTTTAACTCATTCAAAGAAGCGGTATTAAAATATATATTTTCTCAATTAATTACACTCAGATTGTGGAAGAATCGTCAGCAAGTCTTTGAAAGGCATTTAGAAGTGATACAAATAAGGAAGAGAGTTTATGGACTTCAACTTACTATGAGGAACAACGTTTCGGAGTATATGCTTACTCCTTCATCAGTTGAATGAATGATATAAGGCAGAGAAAGGCGATTAGCGCGAACAATAGACAATGGAAGCCAAAACTTTACAGTGAATTAGCGCTGATAGTTATGGACAAGTGGAAATCAGGACTATATTATATATATATGCTCCCATCCATAAATTCTCTTCCCTCATCATCAACAAGTCATGCAATATCCACATCACGTCATGCCTACTTCATCAGAGTAAGTGAGAGAGTAGGGTCTGACGCCGCTTTGAACACTATTTCTGTTATATCGCGGTGTTCCAGCTTAATGTTGGTGAAGTAATGTAGATTGCAGACATAATCTGCGAGATCGCAATTGACTGATACTTACTTTCAATCGATCCTAGGGGCGGTCGGGTAGCCTTATGGTTAAAGTGTTCGTTCGCCACGCCGAAGATCCGGGCTCTCTCTCTCTCGGGTCTTCGGCGTGACGAGCTAACGTTTTAACCACTAGGCTACCCGACCGCCCCGGCTGAAGAGATAAAGACTCGGTAACCAGATTTCCGCACACCCGATCCACCTGTTTTACAAGGGTAAGATAGCAGTAAGGTACTTGTATAATGCTCAATCACTTTCACCTAAATTTAAGAATGATGTTAACCTGTTCATAATGGTCGTCTCCAAACTGATATACAACATCATCAACCCAAAATATCTCGAGCCCCGTTGTAAGGAAGACCCCCATCTCTGTGGCGTTCTAGACAATACCCTGGTCAACAGTCTGGGGGAGCATCATAAATGTCATCTGTTTAGCTTATGACATTATGACTCGTTCAGAAATGTTCAACAAGGTAACAAGGCTACATGTATGCACGTATATTTTAAGAGTCAGTGTTCCTCCACTTGAAGATATTTCTCGGCATGGTTGTCATGTTGTGATTGTTTCAAATCCTTTGTATCACAAGGCTGACAGGGGAGAAAGCTATTGTTAATGACCACATTTTGACATACTGACACATTTGCATCCTTTTTTAATGTGGCCGAACCAATGTCAAATTTATTAGTACACGTAAGTGTTGTTTCACACGGCCGTTAGAAATAATATCAAGTCTGGAAGACGCAAACCAGTGGATGATGACGTGAACATTGATTCGCTGTCGGGTCGCTGTCACATTATTCAATCAGGCCAATCACTCATTCAAACAGACCCGTGAAGATCCGGAGTTGAATAGGTCTTCAGCAACCCAATGTTCGCCGTAAGAAGCGACTATGCTTGTCGTATGAAGCGACTAATCGGGTGGTCAGGCTCGCTGACTTGGTTGCGTGGATCGATGCTCATTTGAGCAATCACTGGATTGTCTGGTGACTCGATTTCGATGTCGGATGCAATTCCCTATTTTGACATTTTTGTACCATATTTTCCCCAGGGTTAGTTTTCAAGTGAACAAGTGATTTGTCCTTGCATGTGTCTGTTATGGGTGCCAACGGCGATTAAAACATTTAATCATATTCAAAACTTTTTACTATTTTTGTAGTTCCGTAAAATTAATAAAACATGCTTTAGTTTTTACTCACGTGACCGATTTAATACAAAAAGTAGTCATATATTTCCACAAAACGTACATATACAAAATCCTATAATACTATATAAGTATGTACATGTTAAATCATGTCAGTTCGGACAATGGAACTGCCATAAAGATAAGCAAGCCATGTTCACAGAAGAGCTCTACACTGTAGCGAAGTTGACCAGTGCACTTCATTCTCCGGTTGACCTTTCGCCGGCTCGTGTGTAGACGATATCGCACATGAGATAACGTTTTATATTTTTTATGTTCGCAAGTGCCCGTCTATTTCTGCGCATATTGATTTAGGTCGTATTGACTTTTTCAAATTATCGAGTCGATAATGGGTCATACACACGAAGCATGACTGTGATAGGAAACTGTAATTGGATGTGGCGATTCCCTTGAGAGTACAGTGAACCAAAGAAGAATGTTGCATTCAGACCCGATATTTTTGCAGTTACAGAAATTTTCTTAATTAATTCTTTTTAAATCCACATTGAAACAATGTCATTTTTGTGGCAGACAATTTCTTTTTTTCCAACAATATGAAGCATACGTATTTGTTTCAGGACGTTTCGGGGGATACCCACCCCCAACCCCCTTCTCCTCCAGAATATCAAATGGTCGGCCCTTAAATAAACAGAAAAGGCGACACAATCCCTTCAATAATCATCTGAGTCCACTGTACAATTCCGACTATATCATAAGCATGTGTTTATGAATCACTATCAAATAGAGATAATGGTGTTCGCGTAATATATGGTCAATGTTTTTAATAGATATTCATGATTTGTACACTAAAAATAACTTTTTATTTATTTTTGTTTCCAGTTTTGTTTGCAATTACTGTGTTTTGGCCTCTAATCTGCTTGTCATTTTATGAGGAACGAAATAATCAAACTCAGACATTAAAAGCAGGGCACTATCTCGAGTAAAACGAATAAGGACGAATGCAGAATATCACTACCAATGGCACTGGGTTACTTCGGCAAAGGTAATATGCAAGCAGGTAATATTGATTTTATGTAACTAATCACCTCAAGCCATACGTTTTTGTTTTGACGTCACGATGTGTAATATAATCATAAAAACATTTCACAGTGACGTCAAAACAAATCCTCATATAATTAGAACAAAGTTGAAATTTTAAACCAGTCACTACATGTATAAATCGGTTCTTCCTTCTTGTTAGGTGAGCGAATAAATTATTGTTTGACAGCACCTGCTGATAAAGAAATAAGGCCACCACTCAGTGCACGCTACCACTGAAGCCTATCTCTTAGACGTCGACAACAACCACACTGTAAATCCCCACATCTCCTGGGTTGGACAAATGTTATCAGCGGGCATAAAACAGTACTAACACTACCTCACAATCACCTGGAAATAGGGTGTTTGCCACACTCAGTGCTATGGGGGCTACACGGAGATCTAATGTGTCATATTTCATCCTGCTATTTCTGTTGCCAGTTGCAGGTAACTTTTTCAAGTTATTTCATTTTAACGAAATAGTTTCTAGGTCAGTGTTATTTTGAAAAATAATTGGATAATAACAAGGCGGGGTTATAACTAAGTATATAGGTACATGTAGAGAATACCGGATACACATACGCCATGTTTGTTTGATGTCATTCTTACAGCAGCACAACACTATTTTTTAAATTGGGCGACGAAGCTCAACATTAGCAGGAAGATACACCGCTTGCATTTGTATCGTTGAATATGATTTAACCCCGAAATTAAACCTCAAGGCAATTCGTCAACATCGAAAATTGGACATCAACGAAGGAAAATAGAAGTTCTATAATGGCGTAATGCAACCTTATCAGTGACATGTATCGGCAACACAACAAAAACGTTGGATTTTCTATTGACTTTGAAACTAAAAATGACAGTTCCTTGCGATAGTATAATTATGTTTCAACACCCCAAAGACCCATGTTACTTTAGCGAGGCTAAAGGAGGAAAGATCCGGTATTCTGTATTCTTATCAGTTTATATTTTCAAAAGATTTCTTATCATGTTTGATAGACTGTGGGAAAAGCATTCGGCGATTGACATGACGTAACATTGTCAATAATCGGTCGTCTCACTTGATGTCTGCCAAGTAAGGGTTCAGTTACCGGTAGGGTAGGACATGTTAACCCTTCTCGCGAACACCTGGTGTCATCACTGGTGTCCAGTGATCCATGCAAATCATTTTCACCTCTATTTTGTCTTTTACGCTCATTGGAATCTGTTTCGGAGGATGATCGAGACTTTATATAGATCGATGTATATATTTACATTAGTTTACACTGAAGCCCCGTTAATGTGGACAACGTAGGGGCAACGAATCTCCGGGATAACGAATAATTGTAACTGGTAATATTATTTATTTATACATGATGTCGGATTAATGGTGTCCGGATTAAAAGTTAATATACTCCCTTGGGGATCTTCCAATACCAATTATTGTGATCATTTCGAGAACAGGTGACCTTTAATGTGATCACACTTGCTTATATCAACTTGTCTAACGTATAGTATTCTTGTGAAATCCCTATATTCCTGACCCCGTTAGACTGGAAACCCCTCTTTCCGGTCAGCGACTGTAAGTAATCAATGTGTTATAATTAATCGACTTACAGAGAATGGGATCATTCAGGCGTCCTATTCACGAAGCTGTAGTAGTTCTAAAATTGTTATAAACGTAGATAGCACCTCAATAAAGACACGTCAAGACTAAAAAGTCAAACAAATCGGATATATAAAACTGACCCACAAATATTGTCGATTTATTATCAAGTTGATACTTCATTAGTATATGATACTTCTTCTCCGTTGATCATGATATCTTATTCGTAGATGAAAGTATCTTCTAAGTAGAAGTAAGTATCATGTACGTTGATGATATTCTTTTATAATGTGGCACTAATACGCATACGAATGAATACATAATTAATGATGAAAGAAAACAAGCGTATTCTCTCAGTGTTGTGTAACAAATACTTGACGTCATTCTCAGGCAGAGTGAGTGAGTTGGGTTTAACGCCGCTTTTAATGTCAGTTTAATGTGGGAGGAAAGCCCGAAGTGATGCAGGTCTTGGACGTTTACCACTTCGATGAAACTCAAGAACACGGGTATGGTGCTGAAAAACCTAGAAACATAATCGGGGCGAACCGGGAGTCGAAACCACAATCATAGGTTTCTGGCGTGCCCAAGGGACGCAACTCTGCACAGCGAATCGCGGCGCCTTAAACGACTGGGCCACCCGTGCCCCCTATTCGCAGGCAGAAATAATAGCGTTCTTGTAGACTACAAACAGACCTTATGTATCCGTTCTGATTGTAAAATTAATAATGTCCGCAACAGCATTCACACTTGTTGAAGTATTTTCCGTCGTTATGGTACATATATCCTCAGATCTTGAAGCAGGGAGGCATCGTGTCGGCGTAAAAGACCTGGTTTCAATGAGATTGCAATAATAATATTTGACATGCGTTTCACATGTGTCCATATTTGACATGCGTTTCACATGTGTCCATGCCGACAAAAAGTTTTTCTTTTTCCCGGTTGATAGGTCTACGGTTTTGCTAGATGTGAGATCCTTCACAGTTTACAGGAGCTCATCACAAGGAAATCATAACATATAACAAATAAACTTACATAGCTGATATTTACAAAGTGCTGCTTATTTTTGTGGTGTGAGTTTCAAGGCATCAGTGATTTATCAGTGCGCGCCTATCGTCCTAACTCGTGTACAGATTACTTTGGACATATCGCAAGTTGCAGGTGTGTTTTTAAACCGAATGAAAGGACCATCCCCGTATATATCGCAACGTTATGACATTTGGTGTCTGGTGTAAGATACATGTTATTTAATTCTGGGTTCTCCTTTGTTTCGATCTCACAAGATACCGGCAATGAAAAATAAATTTAAACACCGATGGACAACTTATAATGTAAATGCATTCATTAATTTCAGTCTCGGGAATATTCAAAATATCCATTTGGAACACACACAACCCTCAACAAAACCCTTTCATTTTCGTAAGAAATATCTGATAAAAGCAGAGTCAATTGAACGATTCCGACTATGTCAAATAGAGATGTCACTTAATGTTCGCGAAAAGGTGAGCGTATCCGGTCCCACCGGTGGCACACGTCTCAAACACACTTACGGCAAGGCAATGTGACCCGTGAAGATCCGGGGTAGAATAGGTCTTCAGCAACCCATGCTTGCTGTAAAAGGCGACTATGCTTGTCGAAAGAGGTGAGTAACGGAATTGGGTGGTCAGGCTCGCTGACTAGGTTCATGCATGTCATCGATCCTAACTGTGTGGATGGTTGCTCATGATGTCAATCACTGGATTGTCTGGTCCAGGCTCGATTATTTTCTGTCATTTTCTGTAATATTGCTGAGTGCGGCGTTAAACAAATAAATAAACCTGAACAAGTGGCACAAGCCAAAATAGGAAATTGCATCATACATCGTTAACATCAGTTACAAATGAATAATGTGCATTACACGTCAAACCATTTCTTTTTTAGCTTGCTTGTACTGCTACCAATGTGGCAGCACAGGCTCAGAAGGATCCTGTAAAACGGATACCAAGACGATGGTAAAATCGGCCAACGACATTTTAAATAACACCAGTCCAGATGAAGAAGTAGTAGATACAGACTCTGAGGGAAGGACCCTGCCCTACATCAAGAAGTGTCCCAACTCTAGGAATGTGTGTATGATCGAAACTGTTGAGAATGCACGTAAGTTGAGTACTTGGTCATTGCCATCCACATCAACATCTGGGAACACGGGCGACTCGGTCGTCCAGAAACCTATGGCAGTGGGTAATACCGGCTCGCAGTTATCATGTTTCTACGTTCATCACCATTACTCGTGCTCGTGGGTTTTCCAAAAGTGGTAAACGTCCGAGGCCTGCATCAGTTCAGATTTACTCAAACAAAAAGCTGACACGCCGTCTACTAACTGAAATATTGTTGAAAAGGTCGTTTAAACAAACTCACACAGATATATCAATAACTCGCATTTTTCGCATTTTATTCACGCTCGCGTTAATTTTAAGATTCACAGTATACATCCTCGTCCCAGGACATCTGCAGTTGTGTTTTGTCTGGCAGCAATATAGTTTAATCTTCAGGCCCCTTTTGGACCCCTTTACTTAACACCCCGACATAAATGAGTACACAGTCGTGCAAAAATATGAATAATGTAAAATTAAAAAAATATTACAAATGTTTACGAAACATCGACAGTAATACGCGAATATTCATGCTCAAATATGGAAATCGAGGAGAAATGGTCCTGAGTGAGTGAGTGGGGCGGTCGGGTAACCCTTTGGTTAAAGCGTTCGCTCGTCACGCCAAAGACCCGGGTTCGATACACCACATGGGTACAATGTGTGAAGCCCATTTTTGGTGTCCCCCGCCGTGATTTTGCTAGAATATGGCTAAAAACGGCCTAAAACCATACTCGAGTTGGGTTTTATACCACATTCAGGAACATTCCAGCTATATCATAACATGTAGGGAATCGAACTCGGGCCTGCGGCGTGCCGAGTGAACGTTGTAACCATTGGGCTACCACATCGCCTCTAGTATCAACAGGGTGTCATCGTATACGTATACTCAACGCTGCGCATCGATGATAATGCTACCAACGTCGTCAGTGGTTAGTTTCATCGATCCGGACTGGATTATTCACCTGCCATAGTCAAATGGATGGAATATTGCCATCCACGTAGACAGCATAAAATTATATCCTCTCACTACTCGAAAAGATCAAAGATTATATGTCTTGTTCAACTGCATGTGCATCTTCCTGTACGTTCAAATGTATGGTAATACACATCTTAAGGTGGTTACCGCTGATGTGTTGCTGTTGAAGTCTGGTTTGTTGTTTTACGCCACACTCAGCAATATTCCAGCTATGTTACGGCGGTCTGTAAATAATAGAGTCTGGGCCAGACAATCCAGTCATTGACATCTTTTGCATCGATCCAGGCAATTGGGATACGATGACATGCATCAACCAAGTCAGCGTGCCTGACCACCCGATCCCGCACAAGAGACGTTTCTGTAATCACCAATGATACATTGCTCGTCATTGGATCGTCAGTATGGGTTAACTGTCATTGCACTGAAGCCCTACTATGGTCAGAAGGTGATATACTACGTTAGGCTTTCAATGGACCCAAAAGACAGGAAACATCGATTTCCCCGCCTCTACCTCCGGTAAATAGTTTTAATACCATCGTTTTGGTTTGTTTTATGAAATTAGATAAGTTTGACCACAATAAGGGG